TGGAACCAACTCAAAATTGGGGGAGGTTATGATTCAATCTCTGACGTTTCTCATGGCAGTTTGAATAAAGCTAGCAAAAAAAATATTTGTCTGGGTGAACTCATGTCTAGTTAAGAATTGTTGTCATCCACTGAGAGAGTGATACCCTTGTGACAAGGCAGTAAGGCTCACTAGTGGTCACAGATTCACAAAGCTCCAAGTAAGGCACATTTGTTGTGTGAACAGGGCTATTTGCATAATGCAGTTGACCAGCTTGTGAGGAAATGAACAGCATCAAACAAAATGCTTTGATTTGAAGAAGAACATTTTATTTATAAAACTGAAAGTAAAAAATGGCCAACTGGTCTTCAGAGCCCCATATCAACACTTTGCAAACTCCCATTCCTTATGAAAACACTTTTTAAACACAGTGCTAACAGAAGGGAACAGAAAACCCAAACAATCCACACAAACCCATTTTCTCAGCAAGTCCTAATGTCAGTGTAGTGGGTGAAAAATATCCCAGTGAATAATTCATTACATGATTATAATATCAAAGCCATTTTCTTGGAGACTTTGAGAGAGCTTCTGTTGGATTTGATTTGAATTACTTTCCCTTTACTTTTGCAGTAGATAGTCATTCAGAGATCATAGCATATGCAAAGCAAGTATTCTTCTTAGAAGCATCATTTTAATTGTATGTGCACTTTTGTTTCATATTAGTGAGCACAGAAAACAATGCCTTTCTCATTTATGGCTTTGTGATTCCTTCAGTCTGCTTTGATATTACAGCACAGTGGGTGACAACAGAGCTTTGTAGCTCATAAACATCTTGGCTGTGAGTCCTGGAGGACATGCTCCCTGCTTTGCAGGCCTTTTCCACCTTTTCCACCCTGCCTGACTCCAGCTACAAAGGCTGAGGCTGCCTTTGTGAGCCAGGGGCCATTTGGGCTGTGAGTGGAACCCAATTGGCTCGCTGGTGTACTCCAAATCTTAGTGTGAGGAAACAAAATGGGAGACAGTCTGAACACATGGGGAGGAAAACTGCAAATGAAATCAAACACTGGTGAGGGTTCATCATCGAGCCTACATCGTGGCAGTGAAGGCAGCAAAGTAAGCATACTTTCCTGCCTCCATTGCATCCTCATGTGTCATCTGGCAGAGATGGTCCAAAGGAGTGGCAGAACTGCTGGTAGCTTGCTGTGACTTGTCTGCAAAGCATTTTTAGGATAAAACTGCTTGCATCTACCAGGAACTTGATTCTGCTGTTAATCAGCAGATGAATCTCAAGGGGTGTCCAGAGCACTATTTAGACCTATTGTGTTGGATGAGATTCAGTTAGTAAGGTTCAAAGATGTGGGCAAGGTGCTTAGATCAATCAGGGTGACAGTTTACGCTATAGACCCTTGCTCCCTCTTGGCTGATAAAAACTAGCAGGGAGGTACAGCTGACTGGGCCAGGGAGGTGTTTAATGTATCCCTGTGAGAGGTGACTGGCCCCCTGCCTGCTTGAAGAAGGTAGTGGTAAAACAACTTGTGGGTTCTCAATCTCCCCTTCTTGGGCTAGGTTCTTAAGCGAGTGGCCTGGTTAATGTGGCCTGGTTTTAGCACAAAAAGGGCTTGGTTGCCCTGTTTGATGGCCTTTGTCAGAAGAGAGACAAGGGAAATGTGTCCCTGTTAATTCTCCTCAACCTCTTAGTGGCTTTTGATACCATCGATCATGGTTTCCTTCTGGAGCATATGTCTGAATTTGGTCGGGTGGCAGTGCTTTGCAGAGGTTCTTGTCCTACTTGGATGGTCATTTCCAGAAGGTGATGCTTGGGGAGTGCTCTGGCCCTATGTGGGGTTCCTCAGAGTTCAATTCTATCTCCTATGCTGTTTAACATCTAAATGAAACTGCTACATGTGTTTATCTGGAGGTTGGGAGTACATCGTCAGCAATATGATGATGACACATAGCTCTGTTTCATCTTTACATCTGCAGGTGTGACAGTGGATGTCTTGGAACAATGTCTTGCCTTGGTAATGGACTAGATAAGAGCTAACAAACTGAAGCTCAGTCCAGATAAGACAGAGGCACTGTTAGTGGGTGGTTCTCTAGACTGGATGGATGGGAGGTGGCCTGCACTTGATGGGATTACACTCCCTCTTAAGGAGTGGGTACATAGCTTGGGGGTACTTATGGATCCTTAGCTGTTGCTTGAGGCTCAGGTGATAGCCTCGCACTTCAGCAGACAGCCCAGACCCACATGGAATGGCTTTATTAACATTAGGAGGGAGGACATTCAAAAGGTCTGGTTTATGGGAAAGCTAGATAATCCCTCTGTATTAACTACTGGTCAAGCTTTTCATCATGAGTTCATGAAAGTCCCTTATTATTTGTCAGATAGTATTCTTTCTCCCTCTCTGTCTGTGTATGCATTTGTGTTCATGCATGTAAGCATATTTCCCTGAAAGCAGTTGCAAGCTTTACATATTCTGTCATGGTCTCCATTAATCTGCCTCGATCCATCTCGACTCTTCTCCCCCATCTATATCAGTTTGCCTGTATGTTTCTGGGAGGTTGGAGCAATGGCAAAGCAATGCCCCTCAAAACCATTTCCACCAGGTGGTCCAGAAGGATACATGGCTGATGCTATGTTCTACATCAGTGGCTGCAGATCAGGAGTGGCTCATGCAAAGTTGATTAGATTGTATTCATTTGATTCAATTCTGTATTCATTTGGGCTGTGTAGATTCTTGAGACACACTGACAACTCTTTTTTGCATTGCCTAATTTCATCTTCACTTTCTGATTTCTTCTAGTTTTGTCTTATTTCTGTAGTGATGGAATATATGCTTGATCCCCTTAGGTGACCACTTCATGTATTTGACAAAGAGGACTCTGGCTTACAGCACAATAAATTTGTTGGTCTTAAATGTGCCACAAGGCTCTCTGGTTACCTTTAAGTAAATTCCTCCCCAAGAAGAAATCTTGGAAGTGGAAGAGGTGTTCTGTGCATTTCAAGACTGTATATCTTGTTAAGAGAAGTCTTTTAATCACCCTCTGAAGTAGCATGGGAGATTTAAACCTGTGATACAAACAGTTAGTGTTTATTTAATTACAGTTCTGTGGGTTTTTATCACCTCAGTGGGAGACATGCTGCTTGGAGAGTGAGATTTTCTTCACACCATGATGTGCTCTTTCGCAGTTCTCAGCTCTATTAACTTAATTAAGAAAATGCAATTAGAGAGGACGTGCCTATTAAACATTTATTTTGAACACACTAAGGGGGTCTGCACAAGGCCTTTTATTTCCCTAAAAATTTCTGATCATATCATTTTCACTAGTGATGACTACAGTTTAAACTCCTAAGGGAAATTTCATGCTTACAGCTACAAAGTTGATCAAAAACCCCTATGTTGGAAATGGAGCCCCAACCATTTCATTGCTCATTATTTGCAAAGGATTCAGAAAGGTCCCAAACCCAAATGCCCACCCCTAGAACAGTACAAAGTTCAGCAAGCATTCAAAATCAAAGGCCACTGAGAAACAGAGAAGCATCAGCATGTTTGGAAGAACCCTGAGGTTTCCAGAAGTAGAAAAAAGTTGAAAGGAAACCAAGCACACAAACACACAAGCATGGCCCAATGAGAACCAAGGAAGTTCAGTAGTCACATGAAAGAAATATAGAAAATGAAAGGAGAATGGAATGGAGGGCTGGAGGAGAGCATGGCTAGCTAAACACACTTTCTGTAACAAAACAATGACATTTAACCTGCTGCCTGCATTGTTTCAACTGTTGCTGCATTAAAGCCATTTCTCATTATGTTTTTAGTTTTGGATTGTGTGGTTTTTAATGATTTATGTACTATTCTGACATACATAAGTCTTGGCATTTTTTAAAGGAATATTGTGGCCACATGCCAAACTTCAGAAATAAAATCCACAAAATTATTCACAAAATATTCCTCTGAGACAGACATGCAAGAGACAAGCAATTCTTATTCTGAAAGCTATCTTACTTAACAGCCCTTCAGTCAGTGATGACTCTCTAGAATGCACCTATGCCATTCAGTATAAATCTGATTCACAACCCTTTTGATGATCTGTTACACCTATATTATATTGGGATTTATTGGCAATGCAACTGAGATTGTCGGAGTTGATGTGTCTTGAGATCTCATAAGCTAATTTGCTCCTGAAAATGAATATTTAGACATGATTTTTACCCATACACAAAGCAAACCAGTGGTGGCCAATGTGGTGCTCTGCAGATGTTGTTGGACTACCAGCTCTCATCTGCCTCAACTACAATGACCAAGGGAAAGGGATGATAGGAATTGAGGCCCAGCAAAATCGAATGGCACCAAAATCTAATGGCACCATTCCCTGTTTAGGGAAGTTTTTAATGTTTAATGCTGTATTGTGTTTTTAATATTCAGTTGGGAGCTGCCCAGAGTGGCTGGGGAAACCCAGTCAGACGGGCGGGGTATAAAGAATATATTATTGTTGTTGTTGTTGTTGTTGTTGTTGTTGTTGGTATATTGGTACGTCCCCTGCTAAACCAAAAAAGCCTGAGAACTAACCTATAATTGTTTCCTTTAAAGTTTAAAATTTGAACAACTCTCTCCCTCTTCCACTCCCTACTGTGTTGGGGGGGGGAATAGCCTGGCAATCTCAAAGCTCTGTTTTGAGGAAAGAATAGTCCAATCTTTCACAGAAAAATAACTCAATCTAGGCATTTTTTATGATTACTTCAGGCCTCAAAGCAATCAACCGGTCTACTTCTAAGAGATTTCTTTTCTGTTGTCCAGAAGAGAAAAAAAAGAGCACTGATTCCACACTCCCCCCTCCCACCAGTACTATTCTAAACCTATCCAGGATAGAAACTATTTTATAAATGTACTATTGAGGGACATAAGTTACTGATTACAGTGCATCTTTCATTTGTTGATCGGAGCCATGATATATTAGTTGGAGGTAACCAAAAGGGCAAAAAACTGTTTTACAGTTAATGTGCTATAGAAATAAATTAATGGGCGATGAGAAATGCAGATTAGATTATTGCACAGAATCAATTTGGTGGGGACTCTTGCTGATTTTATTAGAAGCTAGGGGAAGCCACAGTGGGGAAGAACTAAAGGGATTATTTTCAAAGCAATGAATTAAATGGGATGCACTTGCAAGTTGTTGTTCTTTACTTTTTAAGAGCAGGGTGCTAATTTTCTGATGTCCTGAATCTTCACGGTTGTGAAACACAGAACATCTAGAAAGTATAAAACAATGAAGCTACATAAGACCACAAATTATTTCCAAAATATAAACGAGCCTATTACACATGTACCTTAAGTATGTCTACAAACTCAACGAGAGGTCCAGTTTTAGACAAACAAACTCTTATCTCCTCATCAACACAAAGAATCCTTTCTCTTTTCTGGTCTTTCATATTTGTCAGAATTGAAAATGTCTGTTCACAGCAATATGTCATGGAATACTGTTGAAGAAAAGCCAATGCACTTGAAGAGAGTTGCGGCTACTTTTTCTGGTTGTATAGCCACCACCCACCCCCAATTTTTTTTTGATACTATACTATACTATACTGTAATGTTTGAATATTCGATTGCCCTTGAATCTTCTCACCACTGTTGTCAAAATCTCCTGCCACACCCTTTGAGAACCAGTGAGTTAAATTATGCCACTTGCTCCCAAAAGATACAGTGAGGGCCATAAACTTGGATGATTTTAAAATAGGATTTGACTTAAGTGAGATGGGCGCACAACCCTAGAGTCGGACACGACTGGCCCGTACGGGCAGGGGTACCTTTACCTTTACCTTAATTCATGGAGGACAAGGCTGTCTTTGGCTACTTACTTTGATCTCTGTGTTCTGTCTCCACTGTTGAACGCTTCTGAATATCAGTTGCTGGGAACCACAGGAGGGGAGAAGGCTGTTGCATTCATTATGCTTGCTGGCTTCCCATACACCTCTAGTATGCCACTGTGAAAACAAGAGGCTGGACTATATGGGTCACTAGTCTTATCCAACACTTATTGCCAACCTTTCCAAATTTAGGGATTACTTTACCTTTACATATTGATCTGATTGGGGTGGATTGCTGCCTCTTGCACACTAGCATCAGAACTTCTCTCTTTTTCCTTTTAAAAAAGGACCTGAATGGTGAGAACACACACACACACACACCATCCTGTTCAATGTCATTCTTTCCCTAAACTTTTTTTCCCTCTTCTCCTTACTGTATTGTCATTATCTTATTCGATTAGTCATACAAGCCATCCTCAGCAGTGGAGATCATGTATGTGTTGACATCACAATGTCTTAGCCAATCAAGTTAGCTAACTGGCAATGTCACTGAGGTAAAACACTGATGCTTTAGATGTTGGGCAATCATTGCCGAATGCTCATGGGACTCCTCATCAATCTATAAATGGAAAACTATGGCTTTTTGATGCTGCAAAAAAAAAACCTCCCCTATTTTGATTCAGTCCTTAATATAATGTCCCAATCCATTTCTTTTACCAAATCAAACATGGGAAAGTAAGAACACCTAAAAGTGGAGTCCTATAGATGCTCACTTGGAAGTATGCTCTATCAAATATTGAGATTTGCTGCAGAGTTGGTGCAGATAGGATGGTGCTGTAAATTGGCTTGGAAAAGACCAGTGGTATGTGCCACACCCATTTTTATTTAAAATATTGCTTAGAGACAGTGAAAAACTCTTTACATCAGAGGACAAAGTGTATTTTAGCTGTACAGTCCAAACTTGGATATGTATACATGGAAGTAAGTCTCATTATGGTTTGTTGGGCTTACTCCCAGGAAATAAGATACCAGAATACAGCTGCAATCTTATGATATTCATGAGGGTAAGTCAAATTGAATTCATAGAGTGTAGGAATGTGCTGTTCGATGTTTGGGAGGGGGAAGAGTTTCAGTATGTTAACTGTGTGCTTAAATGAAACTGTTTGTTATCCATTAAATAATTCACTGTGACCTTTCAAACCAGGTCTGGACAAGGTCAATTATAATAAAATTATTGAATGGTTTAGTGAGAACAGCGTAGGGTCAGCTCGATATGGCTCAGCTACCTGCAAAATGTGAATCTATAAAATTTCAGTCTGATTCATAGATGGGGGAATGTTCTTGGGACCCTCCAGCTATGACTATTTGCTTTTACGAAAAGTGAACACTCTTTCGCCCCAGCTACTTTGTTCCAGATGAAATCTGTTAGGAACATATTACCATCACATCAGCATACGATGCAATTACCATTTGATTTCCATTTTACAAGTTTGTTAAATGGATGCAATCATCTCTCAAATCTCTTGAAAGCATTGTTATGATGAAAAGAGCACATAAGAAAAGGACCCACATGTTTCTTTGATACATTTTTATGATATAAAATGAGAGGCAAGATCACAATTCCTTTCTCTCTCTGCTGGATACAGGGGGAAATTCCTCAACACATTTATCTGCAATGATGCATCATCTCGTAACTCCTTTGCATTCAAGAGTGGCAAATTTAAAAGTATACTGGTTTGTAGAAACATTATGCAGTAGATGTATAGCTTTGCCTCACTTTGGTGGGTGGTGGGGAAATGATGCAATAATTGATATCATGCAGTGATGTCTACATTTACTGCACTTGCTTTATGATGATATTATTCTGTCTGAATGTTAATACAGAACTGGGCACCTCACTGAAATGAGTCAGTTGACTCAACTGGCTTGTGGCCCCTCCCAAGGCCAGATATACACCATGTCCTCCCCCACTTCCTGCTGGTCTTCCTTTGTTCTAATACCTTGCTCCGCCTCCTGCTTCTTGGAAACTCAGGTGCAGCCAATTCCTCCTCCTCTGGAGTTGAATCCAGCCCCCTCCTACCACCTGCATCCTGCTCTTTCATCTCTGTGCCGCTGCAAAAACTTACAGGCAGCATTCCAGAGCGAGAGGGGCTTATCTCACTTTCGTTGTGTGAAAGAATCAAGTTTCTGTTTTCCTCTGCCTTTTCCTCCCCCTCTGCAGATTCCTCTCTGCCGACCATGTCTCCGACAGAGTTACAAATACTTAGAAGTAATATAAAAGGTCCTTTACTAATGAGAAAGTCAGTCCCCATGGAGCACAAGCACTATACAAAGACAATATATACTCTGCCCATCTTGTTTAACAGCTAATAATTTCCTCATTTATTTACTTAATCCTTTGTGGCATATGACCAACGGCTCAGACCCCCAGTACTTAATTCCTGCAATGAAAAGTACCGGGGTCTAATTCTGGCTGGAAGATTTCTGCTTTGGAGCTTCTTCCTCCTAATAATAGATGTTTGTATGGTTGGTGATAGTCATTCAGTAGCAGGGGAGATTGAGGAGTGGGGGGGAGTCCCAGTGTGGGCCCAGCTTGGGAATGTTTTGAACATTAAGCTATTGTTTCTCTTTTAAATTCCTTTTTTCTTTAATGATTTTGTTTGTGGATTTTATTAGTGCTGGACTCTAATGAAGGTGAAATATTGTGGACCGAACTTTAGCATTGCTTTCATGAGTGATGCCAAAATAGCCCTTGAAGATTGTAATAATATTTGGGGTTTGAATGCTATTGATTTTATGGTGAGGATTGAGCAAATTGATGGAGGATAAGACTATATTCCACCTCCACTACCAGAGGCCAGTTGCCAGGAATCAAAAGGGGGGAAAGTGATGCTCTCTCATGACTTGATTGCGGGTCTCCCACAGGCAGCTGGTTAGCCACCATGAGGTAAAGGTAAAGGACCCCTGGACGGTTAAGTCCAGTCAAAGGCAACTATGGGGTTGCGGCGCTCATCTCACTTTCAGGCTGAGGGAGCCGGCATTTGTCTACAGACAGCTTTCTGGGTCATGACTAAACCACATGACTAAACCGCTTCTGGTGCAATGGGACAGTGTGATGAGTGCCAGAGTGCATGGAGATGCTGTTTACCTTCCTGCCGCAGCAGTACCTATTTATCTACTTGCACTGGCGTGCTTTCGAACTGCTAGGTTGGCAGAAGCTGGGACAGAGCAATGGGAGCTCACCCTGTCGCAGGGATTCAAACAGCCAACTTTCTGATCAGCAAGCCCAAGAGGCTCAGTGGTTTAGACCACAGTGCCACTCACATCCCTCACCCACCCAGGATGCTGAACTAGGTGGGGCAATGGGCAGGCTTTTCTTATATTCTTACCATTATTGTAGATGAGATGGCAGAAGACTGTCCATTCCCCCCTTCCTTTTAAAAAGCACAAATGCACCAACACTACAAGCAGCAACAGAACTACTATCTGAGTGCCTCTACTAACAAAAGAGGGGAGACAAGAGAGTTCAGGGACCCTCCAAGGCACAGGAGAAGATAGTATGGTGAGGATGGCAGAGGGAAGGTCAAATCTGCAAAAATGGTCTCTGCTTCCCCTCGGCAACAGAGGTGCCTCAAGTAGATCAAAAGAGGTTCTATGAGCTCCAGGGCACCAACCAGGCCATCTCAAGCAAACCAAAAACAGAATATAATATTTGTTATTCTGAGAGATCAGTTTGTTTTGTTTTATGAGCAAAGCAGGCTGCTGAAGATTTGCAGAAAGTCTCATTCTAGGAACCAGGTGAAGGCTGCTCCAAGGAACCACACTTCCTTCTCAGCTGCTCATGATATATTGCTGATCTGATGCCTGCATTAGTTCTAACACATGCTGAATGTAAAATTCTGTTGTCTTATAATGTCATGTACTGTACTTGCCGACACCTCACAAAACCAGCAATTCATAATGATGAAAGAACGGAACCACCAATGAAAATTAATGAGATTTATAGTTACAATTATTTCCTTATAAATATTCATTGCCCATATATCTTTCTTATAGATGGTGAAGGGTCTCCTTGTAAGATCTTAAAAGTGTGGTCGGTACCAGGAGAGGCAGTTTGCTAGGTATCTTGGTCCCAAATTCTTTAGGCTTTAGATGTCAGTAACAAAATATTGAACTTGGCTTGGTAGCAAACAGGCAGTCAATGCAGTCCTTCAAACACCCTACCAGCTGCATGTTGTACTAGTTGCAACTTCCAAACTAGGTGCTGGATAGCCCCTCATATAGAGAATTACAATAGTCTGATTGTGAGGTTACCAATGCATGGACCACCATGCTACCCTTGTCCAGGAATGGTTATAATTAACCAGCCAACTGAAATTGGTAATGGGAGTAGATTTTGCACACAATAGCAATTTCCATTCCTATGGTTTCTAGCAACTGGTATTCAGAAGGATTACTGGACACAACTGTGAAGACAGAGCAGAGCCATCATATCAGCTGGTACTGATAGATGATTACTCATGGATGGAGGGGAGGCAATAAAGAAGATATTTTTCACTGTATTTACCATCATGCAATTTGCACAATTATGTGCTCTTATGCATGTCCAGTTGCCCTCACAATGAGACTTATGCCACTTCTGCAGCCTATTTCGCTGGCCAGAGCTTCCAGCCTGTCTCCCAGCCTGTTTCGCTGGCCAGAGCTTCCCGGTAAGCGAGCATGTAAGTAAGCATTAGAAATCCCCTCTATCATAGAAGTGCCTGCTTCACTGGTAATGCTGAAACAGTGGAATCTTCAAGGTGTGTTCGTAAGGACTCCAAATAGATATATATTTCTTGATTTTTTTGGCACTGCTGCCAGAAACCTATCAAGGGATCTTCTAAAATGCAGATTGGTGCAGCCAAGCGTAAGAAATAAAAAATGACAACTTGGATTTTTAGCTTTAAACTTCCTGAAAGCTTGATTCCTATTCCTATTATTCCAATGAGGATTGATTCATATTAAAATTCCAACCCATTTTAGTCTTTGTAATGAGCCTAAAATAGCTGCCAGCTTGCAGTGCTGGAATTAATGATAATTAAATGTAACACAAAATGTATTTCCATATTTTGTATTGCTCAAATGATTTCATCTCAGATGTACTCTGATTCTTTTTTAGCGATGACTACTTCTATTTAATCTCTTTTCCAATTTTAATTTGAATTTCATATTGTTCCTGACTGTTTAATGAATATTTTGGGAGATGGCCATAGTGTTGTTAATTATACCAGAGACTGAGTATAATTAATTCTTTTGGACCCAAAGTCAGTTGGTTAATCGATTTCTGATGGAACTGGAGATTAAACACAGATAGTTCACTTTTTCTTTCATTCATTTTAATTTTCTCCTCTTCAGTTCAACTATGGAAAGGCGTTGCTGGTAAATCAATTCAGGGGCACATTTTGGTCATTATCCAGGTGCTAATAAATGGATGATCCTTTCAGCTATTCACCTTCCTATCGAGCTTTCAGTGGGCAGGTGTATAGGGATTTCAAGTTTTGTTCTGCCAAACTTATTTATAATTCGTATTTCAGTTATGTTTAAATGTCTGTCAACAGGAAGAACTATGCTTAAGTGCAAAATGAAAAAGTATCCGGATGTCGTTCTCCAGGAGATCTAACAAAAGCAACTTGGAAAGAGGTTGGACTGAGGCAGAAGTCAATCTTCATGTAAATGCAGAATAAATTTATGCAGCTAAATTTGATTTTTAGATAATGGCTTTAAAGGGCTTAAGTGAGCACTGGCAATATATTAGTATTCTGGGCAGAGTCTGCTTCCATGTATTTTTTTTTCTGAGGCTATAAATAATGGTGTGTTTTAATTTTTGACAGCAGGAAAAGCCCCAAAGGCTCTGAGGAGATAATAAAAAAGGCTGAATGGGAAAAAAAAATTAAAGCAGAACAAATGCAGAACCTTCCAGCTAGTCAATGAGAGCAACCTTGAACATTTTTCATTTACTGCTATTCAGATATGAATGGATAGCTTTAGGTTCCACTCAACATTGTCTCATTGCCCTGCCCTTTTTTCTTGCTACTGCAAAGTGGCTTAGCTGAAGGATTGTTTATGTTGTTTTCTAACAGCTCCAGCCTACAGAACCTATACTGTTTAGATAGGAGTCAACAGATCTCCAATGTCAGATAACACTGGGTGACTGACAGGTTGGTATGTTGGTCACGTTTGACCTAATCCAGTGGTCTGCAGGGCTCAAGATGGCAGGGTGGAAGATGGATGTGCAAGCTTCTCTATTCTTCCTTCTTCCTTCCCCAGAGCTGGATTTAGGTTTGAGGAGGCCCTAAGCTACTGAAGGTAATGGGGCCCTTTATATATCCAGCTGTCCTTTGTCAACAACCAATTGTCACTGTTTTTTGTGTTGAATATAAGATATATGGTAATTTTTGGACCTAATAGGTATCTAAAGCATTTTGCACATAACAAAATATGTATTTTATCAAATAATTGTTGAACTGAAATACAATTAAGAAGAAGTATATTAATAGTGAAATACAATTAAGAAGTAGTATATTTTTGGGCAGAGCCCAAGAGAGAGGGGCCCTAAGCTATAGCTTGTTTAGCTTATATGTAAATCCAGCACTGTCCTTCTCCACCCCCCAATACATATTTTTGTATATTTTTTTTGTACATATTTTTTGTACCTCCCCATTACTCCCAATGGGAGGGAAAATAAATTTGCCAGGTCCAGGACTGCCATACTTACCTCCCTCCCCATCTGGGGGCATAATGAAGGAATTGGGAAGGTTTTCAATCCCTAACCTCTTGCTCTCCACCTCTGCCATGCCCCCAGCACACACACCTTTTGCTGGAAGCACTGTTAGAGAGTACTGACAGCAGAGTGACAAAGGCAGTGGAGCTTCCCAACCTATAACAGAATGGTTTGCAAGGGCAGATTTTCCCCTACATCTGTAGTTCTCTTTTTCTGTGGGATCTGCTGTATCATTCAATCCTGACAAGCCCTCCCAGGCACCACAGGATCGTAGCCTTACCCAAATATATTAGAGTGGATGTTTCCTACTTAACATACTCCCTGTATATTTTTTCTGTGTGCTCTACAATAGATGATTTCCTCTTATGCTTCATTTCTTATTTCTAGGAACCATGTCAAGATGGTCACATTAACATTCATCGTGAGGATTGCGCTTTCAGAAGTCAGACATAAAGGACAAACAACTCTCCATGCAGCATTTGCTGTATTGGTCCTAATTTATCTTTCCAAATGTAATTATATTTATGCTGATTATGATAGTGATGATGATGATGATGATGATGCAAATGCTAATAACTATAACAGCTGGTGCTGTATAAGTTACTGCAAGTTAAATTGTTTTCAATTTTTTAAAAAATAATAATCTGATCCATTATTCTGCAGGATATTGCTAAAGGGATCTATCACTCAGAGGATGCCAAAAATTATCACTATATTTATTTTCACTGTGAGTCTGTAGGAGAATGCAAGGATGTTTGGCAAGGGTAGTGTATGCTAGCTGGTGCATTACAAGCTGTTGCTCACAAAACCCTAAATCCTCATTTTAAAGCTATGCTTAAAAAGAACATAATGGCTACCATCTACCATACCATTTACTGAGAAAGCCTTTCAAAAATTCATCTCTGAGAACCCTACTTGAAACAAATGACAAACACTTTCCCCTGTTATACTGGCACTTCTAAATTAGCCAAAAGAAAACACTTTCTTAAATAAGCAACAGCTTGCTGGGATGCAGAGCGCAGGTGAGAGACCTATGGACCAACAGTGTTGCATGAAACTTTTTGATGTGCCCCTCCAAGCCCAGAGAGAGAGATAGCGAAAGACAGATGGATTGAAGGGGTGAATAGGATAAAAGAAAATGAGAGAGAAGGATTATTTGTGTGAGAGAGAAGGGAGAAGAGAGAGGAATTGAATGAATGGATAATGGATGAAAGTGGGACAGAAATATGAGAAGGAGTGTCCCACCCATTTCTTGCTTTGGTGGCAATAGTGCCACCACTATTGGTATATGTTCCTGGTCCATGACCACTTTGTTCTATACCTGGAATGAAGACTCAACAAGACAGGAATTGGTTTGAGGTTATATTTATTAATGCAAGAGAGAAGTACTTGTAGCAGACATAAATGACAAGTGTGGGTTGGTATGTTCTGGGCAGGTCCATATAAAATTCCCTGCATGCTACTGAGGGCTAATCCAACCGAGTTCACCTCCATCACCCAAGCTGTGAAGGCAGGCAAATAGCATATTCTAATAAAGGGAAGCTGTGTGGATGTGTGTGACCTAAAGATAGACCCCTTCCAGTTGGGTGACAATAGGATGTCGAGATGCTCTAAGTCCCTTACCTGCCTGCACTTAATGCCAAATGAGCTGAACAGCCAAATGGAAAAATTTAAAGCAGGCCAAAAAGGGTATAACCAAAAAATCCTACTCAGTCCCATGCTGCTCACATTTTCCAAAAGGTAGGAGGGCAGGATGCTGTGACAGGGAAGAAGGAAGAACTTGGGGAAAGGGCTGTTTTTAATAGGCAGCCAGCTCTGTGCCTATTGACTGAAGCAGGTCATATGAGAGAAGTATCTTAACCCCTCCCCTAGGAATAAAGTTTTGTAAAGCTTCCTCCTTCATTGGTGTGGAACCAACCTTTCCCCAATTAAAGATTAGGAGTTTTAGCCATCAAAAAATAAAATAAAATGTGGCCTTCGTACACAAAAGTTTGCCCACCTCTGATATAGAAATTGGATATGATGCACTTGTTTGCAACTATCCATTTCAAAGTTTAATAAGAGCGCTTTACTTCTAATTTAGTCATCACAGAGATCTATTAAACTCAGTGTTCAACCTTAAGAGTCATTGAGTTAATGCACAATAAAACAGAAGTGCTTGACGTGCTCTGGTCCATGGGGTCACGAAGAGTCGAACACGACTAAATGACTAAACAACAACAACAATAATGTTATCATAATTAACTAAATATTTGTTTGACCTTGGAACAAATGTATGGATGAGATGAAACAAATATTTTGGGCTTATGAAAATAATTCATAAATAAATGAAATGCTATTGGGTATCCAGTTTATCATTTAGCAGGTGACACCTAAAATATGTGAGTTATGCAAGGATTAGTGGAAAGAAAAACTACTTGGCGTTGTTATGCAATAAATAAACACATTATGTTAATATGCACTGTTAAAAGTGCATCTTCTGCTGTATTTCTTTTTTTATTAAATGAAATGCATTTATTATCAAGCTGTCTTGGATGCAAAAGCTCTTCTGAGGTCTATTGTTGACAGTCAGATACAACATGCACACGTTTCATCCTTTTGTGAAATGTGGCATTGCTTGTTTGGCATTCAGCAGTTTTCTCTCATGTCAGACAACATTAAGTGAGTGAGTGTTGGTCCTTTGGCAGTAATAATGCTTGAAATTCAAGGAGGATGGAATTTCAGATGTCAGAAATGTTGGCCAATGGGAAAACTGATTAGAGCAAGCAGTTTAAATGATTCAGCATTTCATGTATTAATCACTGTTCAACCTAGCATAATTTCCTAAGTGGGGTTGTGCACTATATTCTGAACTGAAACGTGAAAATTCAACATAGACATGACAGCACTGGTCCATTTTTCTTTTTCTTTTTTTACACTGCCTAGGCAAAGTATTAAACATCTGTGTGACCTAGATAAATAATTGAGGTATGCAGTGACCACATGATTTGCCTTGTACCTGTATCTGTGTAGTGTTTAGCAGCTCAGTATGTTTTGGATGTGCTCTGTGTTCTTGCAATTCCATTTTCAAAATTCTGGGTCCAAATAAAACTTACTCAATCTGGAGCTCTGTTTTGCCACCATGGACTATAACGGGGACTTGAAAAATTACACTAACTTTTTTCCATTACACTTAAGTGGATGAAATTTGCAGACAAAGGATCTAGAGTGGATTGTGCCTAACAAATTTTGAGCAGATCCAACCAGATGGTTTTATGTATGGAACCTTTATTTAAAAAACAACAACAGAGAAATTATCAGCAACATTTTAACTTTCAGGCAGAATTGGATGCTAATTGCAAGCATAGTTATGCCTTCTGAGGGAATTAAGATATCAGCAGAGTATCACCTTCAAGGACAGATTTTACTGTTTTTAGAAAGAGGGGTTTTTTGAGCAGTACCCCTCCCCTACTTATGGAAAACACTGTCCCCAGGAGTGTTCTCCTGGCATCAACTCTGACTGTATTCTGGCACAAGATGAAAACCACATTGAACAGCCAGGCATCTGAATGATGGACTGTTGCTTCTCAGAATGAGGCCAGGTTTTGTGTATTTATTATGCGGTAGTCAGTTACCTGTTCTGAAGGGGGTTGCACACCAGGTCTATAACTTGAGGGTTCTGCTGAATCCAGCATTGTCATTTGAGGCCCAGGAGGCCTCTGTGGCCACCTGTGCCTACTTCCAGCTGTGTGTGGCTCCACCACCTATGGCCCCTTTTGGGCAGAGGCGACTGTTCTAGTAACTTTCAGATTGGATTATTGCTATACACTTGCTATACACAGCTACCCTTGAAGATGTCTCAGAAACTTCAACTGGTTCAAAATGCCATGTCCAGATTGCTGGCTGGGGTTATCTTTAGAACTACATTTTTGCATTCTGGGACCATTTTACTTTAGCTGAGGCAATAACGTATTTGGCAAATGTTACAGAATAATATTGGTGCTCTCTTAGTGAAAGGAAAATTCTTTAATGTTAAAATTATAAGAACGTTGGTGTGCTTCTTCTATATTTACAGATTTAGTGCTAAAAAGGATGACAAACTGGTGTACAATTGCTTGCATGAAGCTTTCAGACATAAAGTTTCATTTTGCATCCAGATCTTTACCATAATGCAAATATTATTTATTGAATAGATACATTTTATTCCATTACTCTTTACCATTTGCCCGACAGGTATAAAAAGACGAAAGTCATTTGACTCTCATCTCTCTCTCTCTCTCTCTCTCTCTCTCTCTCTCTTGTTTCCACCTAGCCCAATGTTTTGCAGATTTTTGTTCCTCTGCGCTTAGACTAGCAACTGAGTTTGAAATATCTGCTTTTAGTTGATTAGGCATTGTATGTGTAGGAAATGGTGTTTGCAGGAAATGTAATGTTCTTTTGATGGCTTCCTTTGTAATTACATTGTGTCACACAACATCCATCACAGCTCTTTGCATCATTTTACATCAGGTCCTGTCAGCTCATTCGTTGTTGACAATGCAGTGCACTAAATGATAGTATGGAACAGGTAGCATCACAAACGGGAAGCACCACAATACTTTTTATTTAAATTGTTGCCTGCCACATTCCAGTCATAATGGATCATCCTGCCAGGTGTGACAATGGGTCTGGAGAACACTATTCATATAGGATTAAGCATGATAAAGCTTCCAAGCCATTGATTGCATTCAAGGGGACTTGCTATCAGGAAACAAATTTAGAGGCTTTTGTTAGGGAGATTTTTAAGGTAAGAAAGAAAGGACCACACTTTTCATTTTAGGTTGGGAGTTTTGCATAATATTTCAAACTTTTTCTTATTTATTTATTTGATTTAATCCATAGTCTACCTAACAGCTCTAGCAGCTCACAGAGATTAAGTGTTAAATTCTATGCAGTGGCTTCTATCCTAACTAATGAGTGGAAGGATTTATTTTATTCTCAAAGAGCCAGAAGAGGTGCTCAGAGGCAGGGCAGCTCCCCCCCCCCCCACCGGCATCTCCTCTTATGCCTGGAGAGTCCTGCATCACCTCTCATGCTGATCTGAAGGGTCCCACAATCCCCTGGTGCTAGGGACTGGTTGGATGCAGAGGAATAGTGGGAGAACAAGCTGGGGAACCTCCAAGGGAAGAAGGCTCAGAGCCTGGGAAGTGGTGACAGAACAATGATGAGTGGGCAGAGGAAAAAGAGGGGAAAGACTGCAAAGAGAAGGTGTCAGAAGCTGAAGTGGTAACAGGGCTTAGTGAGCTGGTAGAGTCTGTGGCGGAGAGAAGTCTAGAATCAGAGGCAGACGCTGAAGCAGGTGAGTGGGAGGACAGAGGCCAAGAGATAGAGATGAGTCAGGCAGGTGAAGACTCACAGATGTCTCTCTCCTGCTGCAATAGGCTTCCCTCCTCCCGTATCTCCCAGAACCAAAAGAGGCACAGAAAGGGCAGACTCG